GGTTGGCATTTGATTTAAAAAAGAATGTCTTCTGGTGTTAGAACTGCTTGTAAGGTGGCACATGTATACAAGTTGACTGACAAATTATGGATAGGTCTCACTCTGAGAGAATAAATTTAGGTGACACTGTAGAATTTATTAAACCAATGGGAAAAAAGCACAGATCTTACACATGTATCAAAGCACTAGTTCTTTTAAGAATGGGCTACTCCTAATCCATGAATTTTAAATGTATCCAAAACACTCAGCAACTTATTATTAAAAAGCACCAGTTTTAATGATGTCGTCATGCTTCATGACACAAGAGCTTTGTTCTGTTTAAATCAGCTAACATGGATAACTTCTTATAGGTGAGAATTTCTCCTGAGCAGTTGGTCAGTACTGCTCACAGGACACATCCTTACTGGAACAGCTGATCAGATTGCTTCCTGTAGCTGCACATGTCACTCACTGCATGAACTGCTGAGCTGTTCAACCTAATTTTAGTTTATCTTAAAACTCTAGATTGCAAATTGCAACAGTTTTAAGATATCTTCACAAATGGTCTGGCTGTTAATGCAGCAAACAGCTGGAGCAATAACTTTATTTTATCAGCTGTCCCAGTGCAAGTCTTCAGTGCCCAAGGGGCAAAGCCTAAAAGATAAAGGCAGGGGAAAGAGGCTTCCAAGGAGCTGTGGCCCAGTTTTGTCACTCTCAATGGCTCAGCTGTCTTCCAGGTGTGCAGTCAGTAGGGACTTAAAAAGGCAAACAGAACACTATGTGAAATCAAAACAGCAGGAACAGGCCAGTGAAAGAGAATATGTGGTGCTCTTGTTTTACAAGCGTCACAGGAGATCCGAAAGTCAGAGCTCGTTATCTTCTACCCTGTTCTGCTGGTATTGGTATTAGTATGCTGCTTAATTTTTTTGAAAGGTTATAGGGGCTGGAGCTTCTAGATGACTTTCAGTGGTTTTTCAGTGCAGCATGTTCTTACTTTTTCAATGCAAAACAAAACACCACAAAAACCTTTGCAATACAGTACTACGGTATCACCGGTATTAATGGGTGCAGTCTAATACGTGTGTAGCAGAAGGTTTTTTCCTTGCCATGTTAAATTCTGTTCTGTACAATCTGTTTCTAACTATTAATATAAATTGACCAGCCAGCTTACACTGTGTAAATACTGGGGAAGAAAAAGGTGAAACTATTGCAAATACAGTAACAACTGAAATTCTGAAATCTGGGATAACTGCCAAAGATGTCAATTCTACACATAGAAAAGTTCTTAAAATAATTTCCATTTCACAGCCCGATTTAGAAAAAATAATGAAAAAAACATTGCATTTTGATCCATGCCATATCTCACTAAATGTTCTGTGACTGACCCTGTGTGAAAGAAGGTAATGTGTTATGCATTCAAATACTAACCTTTGGATTTCTGTTTGTCTTTAAACTAATTTTCTCCATCACAAATTAATACAAAAACACCGTATGATTTTACTTTCAATCTTGTGCATTTATATGCTGGGTTTTAACTCTTCTTACTGACTACATGATATACATGTGTAAACTGCTTTAATTAGTACAGTTTGTACAACTGACAAGTTAATTACGATAATGCTGGTGAAGACAGAGTGTCGGGTGCTTCCCAGTTTAGATATATGCAGGCATCTCATTATTTGCTGCCTTTAAAGCTGAGTTATACATCTCTTCAGTGAGCGGTTCCAAAGGCCTTTTAGGCTGCCTAATTTTGGTAAAGATTGAATATGGCTTCTTTACCATGTGCTTTTTTCAGGCTTTGAAAGACCAGCATTTTCTAGAAAAGTTGCTTTCCTGGTTTAAATGCCTATTCCTGTGTCTGCCAGCCTGCACGCTGGCTCAGTACTCCCCGCTCTCCCCATTGGCCCCTTCCTCCGCTCACAAGCACGCTGGGCACAGGCAGCAGGCCCACACCTCACTGAGCCCGTTACCGCAGCACTGCCAGTGCCGCCCTGCTCGGTTGTCTCAGCCCTGGCTGGCAGACTGTTGCGCTGCAGAAGGTTTGAACGCTTTGATCTCAGCTGCCAGCTTCTGCAGGCTGTGCTTGCTTTCAAGCACTTTTACCATCATCTGTACATAATCTAAATCAATGTCTAGTCTTCCAGATTCTGCAGGCTTTCCCTATCCATTTGTCGCTTATGGATTTCCAGATAGCTGAAATGGGCACTCTTGAAAAGTATAAAGTAGGAAGTCAGGACGCTATGGTCCATGATAAAGTGAAAAAACACCTTTGCCAAACACAGCAGAAAAAGAATTCTGACCTTTTATTTAGGCCTGCAGGGAACTGACAAAACACCAATTTAAACACTTGTGTTAAAACAAATGGACACCACCATCAAAACAAGAAGACCCACACACTGACATATTAGTTGGGTTTAAAAATAAGCAGTTCTAACAAAATCACTGTGGCAAGTAAAACTACTCCACTAGAATTTTCTGTTGGGAAGTAGACAAGGTACTGCATTTCTGTTAGAAACGCTAGATGTTTCTAATGTAAATCTGTATAAGCCAGACAAATCTGTATTGGCCACATGCTAAAAATGTTACCAAAAAAAAGTTATCCAGTAAACAGTAAAATGAAAAATTTATGACAGAGCTATCACACTGAGCTATAAAACAGCTTCTTGTAAGCTGATGATTACTTCAAAAAATAATAAAAGAATAAAACCAAAACAACACAAGCTAACCTGTAACTTTAATACTCTACATAATGAATTATGCAGAACTTTTAGCAAATACAAAACCAGCTGGGATTTAAGGAAAATTTAATGCCGCATGGCTACATGCTCTTCAGTTAATAAACACCTTTGCCCGTGGGAACTGCAGAATGTTGCGAGAGTATAAACTAGTTTGTTCTGATGGTGTCTGCTGCAGATACAGATCATCTATAAAAACTTAGAAGGAAGTAACTGTCATCAAAGTTTTAGTAGTATTGAACAGCTGCAGTATTTGCACAAAACAGCTGTTCAGTAGCAGACAGCAGACAATGGCTGTTAGAGCTCCTGTAGTTAGAGCAAGCTAATGAGGGCCCTGGCACAAACTGCTGGAGCAAAGTTCTCACAAGTGAGTATCTAAATGTTGTTTAAAAAAAACCCACAAATCTTGTTTTTTAACAGGTGTTTACTTACACATTGTGTTGACATAAACATACTTGAAATGGTATCCTACCTGAAGTAATGCAGTTTTCAGTGTTACAGTGCCAGTTAAGGTCATTGAAAGAAGGAGTTATTTATTTATTTATTTCAAACCCAGTACCCAGTAAATTGCAAATCTTGTCATCCTTGAGGGAATTGTTGTTACGTCGCTCATCTGAACTGAACCTTTGGGCTGCCAGAATGTCTATTTTTAACAAACTGTCCTTGCATTTATGCAAGAGAATAAATACCACTGCCATTGACTGACTTCTAGATAACAAATGCCTCCTCCATGGTTGCATATGGGTATATGACAAAGTGGTTTTAAAGCTTTCCTAAGTAAACTAAAAGAATATGGACAAAATTTGTTTTCAGAGTTTGTTTTTATATATGTTATGCATACTTTAGAGCATCACAATATTACTACATTTTCTTTCAGACTCACTTATGGAACTGCTGCAGCAAAAGGCAATGCTCAGACTGTTGAACACTCTATAAACATAAAGAGCAATTTACACTACCTGTAGATTGATTTTGTTGTGCTTCTGCCAAACAGAAATGGTTAGTAGGAAGTTAATCCTGCAGTGGAAAGTTAGGGAAGCATTAAGAAGGGTGGTGAAGTGTATCAATATTGTTCTGTAAAGTTACAGCAGAAAACAGAAGAGCAAGTCTAGGTTTCAAATCTGTTAAGATTTTCAATAGAAGCAGCTTACTAGCAAAACAAACATTTTTCTTTTACTAGGAATTGTCCTTATGCAACAGAGGGATACCATTATATGTCTATTGACATAAGGTCCTAACAAAACTCACATCAGAGGCTTTTCTTTTATAATTGAGCATATTCAAAGTCTTGCTGAGTAACAGATACTCTATACCTACTGCCACTCAGTCATGGAAAACAACGTGATTGCCTCTTCTGTTAAGTAGTATTTTATATTTTGGTTATCATTTTAATATTTATCTGCAGCTTGTTGTTACTATTTAGAAGATTAGTCAGTTTAATAAAACTTAACATTACCCATTTTGGAATATCTCCATTCCTATCACTGCATTTACACTTGTCCATTAAAATATTTTTTTTTGGTCATCTTCTAAACTCAGTTATACTGCACTCAATTGTCCAGGCTTTTGAGTGGCACTCATTGTTAATAACTTCTGTGCTATTTTGTCATATTCACAGTGGTGCCCCTCACTTGTAAATAACAGTAGTTGATTAGTGTTTGCTGAATGCCGTGCACACAGACACACAAACAATGTCAGTGACATATTAGTCTGTCTTAATTCATCGCTACAGAAAAGTTGACTGATAACTAGGGAAGATTTTGCTACTGTGGTTTCAGAAATGTCAGTACTCAGAAAACTGGCCAATTAAACAGGTATATAAAAGAATATTAATACTGTTTTAATCCAAATTCAAGTTCTGAGGAAGTTCTGTAAGTAGCTTGCAAGAGCCAGGAGTTACAGCTGTTTGTTGTGCCTGTAACATTCTTGAAACAAGAGAGTTCTGTGGGGAGATCTGTGCTAAACTAAGCTATGCTGAGCCTTTCTGTTACCTGGCTGTCATGAATATGTACGTGCTTATTTTGTCCAAGTGTTTTAGGTATTCTCCAACGTGGATTATGGTAAGTACATAGTGTAATATTAAGAGAAACTAGGACTGGTGTTGTTGGGGTTTTTTTTCCCTTGCTCAGCTGTTACTGCAGTTTGGTTCCTCATTCATCCTCTGTTACTTAACCGTATTGAGGCTTAGCACTGAAATATTTCTCTTTAAAAGGGATACACTGATGAGTTCTGCATTTTGGAAAGCATAAAAACAGTTACTTTTTAATTTATTTTTTTCTTTTTTAGTGAATGAGATCATAGGAAGAGATATGTCAGAGATCTCAGTGTCACATGGAGCAACAGAAGCCAGCCAGTCTGCACATACATGTCCTGGATCTCTGGAGTCAAGAATATCCGATGGAATCCAGTAACTGATAAGCTTCCAAGTAGACATCCATGAAAACTTAACAGTTTCTCTAATATTTCTTCATCCTCTTCCCTCTTTAGACTTACTGTGCTTCCAACTCTGTGGCCTTTATGAACTGGAACAGTGGATCCTTGCAAAACCCTTTTAGTGGGTTACATTTTTGATGTAGAGACAGAGCATTTATAATTATAGTTCCCTCAGATGCTGTAAAGAGACTTGTTAAAACGAACACACAGAATCTACACCAGATATTTTAACTGTTTTAAAGTTACAAACAAGCTTTGCTTTTTGCATTTAAATAGAATACTTTTATCTTTTAAGTGCTTCAAATGTGTGGACATGTTAGTTTGCTCTTATAATATTCACAGTACTGAATGTGGAAAAAGATTTAATACACATCTTTAGTGTGCTGCTTTCCACTAGGGATAGTATAGTTTGTAACTGATGTTTTTTAACTCCTTTTGGTAATTTTGGAAAGCCTTTAAGCTTCTGTTGGGTTTTTTTTTAATGCAATCTTCCAGTGGCAAATCATACTTGTCACCTGAAGCCAATGCCATGGAAGCCATTGTGTATACAAATACTGTAGTGTTTTCTTTCGTAGATTCATAGGAAGCAAAGCCAAATGTAGATCTGCACTTGTTTATAAACTGAAAATGTTACTTGATAGACTGCAAAAAGACCATTCCATCATGAAAGTGTTTGGGATAGAAATAACATTCCAAAAATTTAACTTTTATAACTTTGTGGATAATCTTCCTGTTCTTTATTAGCACAGGCTCCTTCGTGAAATAGCTTTTTTGTAGAAAGTTACATTTGTAATTAAATTTGAGCAGTAGGATTTTAGATTAAAGAACAGCAGCGCCATGTTAGATACAGGAGAAATCTTAGTATTTGCTGAGGATCTAAGTGTTCCTATTCCTACACAATATAGTTTTGAAATCACCAATTCAGTGGCATTCTAGTTTTCCATGCAATAAATAATTTGATCACACCTGTATCTTTACATGCTGCATGCCTGACCATGCCACTTGGAAGTCCTAAGGAGATGACAATTACAGTTCCTTAAATTAAAGCTGCTTATAAACATGAGTTTGCTAAAAAGTAATTTACTATGAATTAGTGATTAGGTGGTATAACTTGCCCATTTTTAATTGTAAATGTGTGAAGCAGAAGGTACCAAAGAAATACACCAGATTCACAGCAGCAGTAAACTGTACTGTCCTCAAAGGATGCATTCCTCTTACTGACATCATCTGGTACATTTGAAACTGTGTTTACATGGTTATTCAAAATCTCTGGCCTCTGTGATTAGAAACATAGGAGAGGGGTCTGCAACTGCCTCCTTAGGTCACAAACATTTACCTTCCCCAGAAGAAAGTGTCGTTTACAAATCTTTCTGATATGGAACATACAGGGTACAACAATCACAGCGAAGATCAGAAATACACCGAACCTCAAAACAGTGAAGTTGTTGGGTTTAGTTCCTCATTTGGGTGAGCCATGATGCTCTAACGAAAATTAAGAGTGAATACACTCAAAAATTTTGACATACAAAGTGTGGACATTTCAGTAGTTTAGCACATGTGGAGCACATGCCTCTTTCTATAGAAAAGTATTATAGATTAGTAAAATTATAGTAAAATGGTCTCCATTACTGAGTCATAATACCTGTAAGAGTAAACATTGCTTCTACTCGTGTTGCATTTTGGCAGACAGGCACAGGGAAAACTTTCCATTGAGTCTCTTGCAGGCAAAACTGAAATTTAAGTCAATGCCCAAGCAATACCATTAAAATAACTATAATGACATCTTTGTAATGGCTGAATCATGAACTTTTAAAAAGACCACACATTATGTGGGTGAATTACAACTCTTTATCGTATACTTCCTTGTAAGACTGCAGCCTAAGGCTACGATCTTGATGTTTCATAGTTATTGCAAACTATGGCCACAATGTGCGTGCTGGGATTCTTAAGCATCCTTTTTGTGAATGTATTGTTCAATGGTGCAAATCTTTAAATTTGCAGGAAAAAAAAGTCAGGGCTGTAGTCTGATACAGTGTGATACTGTAATTGTCCTCTCAGCAATGGTGCTTTACTCTGTCCTCTACTCACTTACGTTAAAGATCCTAGAAAAGGATTCACGTGCTCAGAAATACTCTACTTACATTTTTGATACTTAAAAAAGAAAAACCAAACCAAAAACGACACCACACTGTAAACTATGTAATTGTCTGCAGACTGTGCTGGTGGTGAGGCATGTTCCAGTTTTCGTTCATGTATTGGGTCTTTTGCATTAACCATTGTTTGTATGAGAATTCTAACTTAAAAGCTTTTCATACTGTATGGGATTTATGCTCCTTTGTCCTGCTGGTACAGACTCTGCTTGCAAGTTCTCCAAGTAGCTGGAATTCACACTGTACCTAAAATATAGGAGCCCAAACAATCCGGAGTTGCTATGCACTAAATTTTCTGATGCCTTTAAATACCTTGATGCCTGTAGACATAGAGATGCTTTCCTATTTAAAAATGAAATTTAAAAAATAGAGCTTTGGATACTAAAACAGTTTTGTATTGGCCTTGTAAAAGCTTCAATACAAGGGTCTTAATTTTATTTTAGCTTGTGTGATAACATAGGTAAAGACTGTTAATCTTGTTATAATTTTATTAATACAACAAGCACACAATCTCTATTGGACTATGCAAAAAAATAAAACAACAGAACCTGGCCAGTGTTGATATTTTGTTGGCATCCACTTCCTTGCCCTTAAGTCCTTTCTTCTCCCTGAATACTTCTCCCAAACTTTTTAATAATTTAGATTATCCTGAAGGAAAGCCTTAATGCTAAGGTAGCTTTTCTATAAGGAGGGTCAAAGATCAATGTTAAAAACAAAAAATTAAGGGGTAGTCTGTTGATCCAGGAGGGTGGGGGGTGTGATTTCTGAAATTAACATAAACTCGCAGTCTGAACTGCTGTCCTTTTTAAACCAAAGAATGAAAATAACACGACAGTTTTGCTCAGATACAAAGCTTTGAAACTCTATTTTTGATACTAATAATGGATGTCATTCCTTGAGGTTTGGAAATCGTTCAAATTGAAATTTTATATTTAAAATGTGGGACAATAAAGATTTAAGTTCTAGATGTTTACAGAGCCTCGTATTGTAATTTCATGTACATTTTGTATTTTAAACATTTTTGTAAGTTATGATTGCAGTGCTACTTGCAGAAATAAAGGGAAGAACTTGCATTTAGCCTCTTAAATCGTAGTGTTCAAATAAATAAAAAGAATGTAAATGTGTTGTCATTTATTTAAAATGCAGATCCAAATGCAGAGTGGGAACTGCTGTTTCCAATGCAGTAGTAAAGAGCTGTGCTCAGCTGTGACTTGTTCCATGGGGGACATTTAATATTCCTCAAAGAAAAGTGACAGTTTTAAAGCTATGTTGTAATTGAGCCTATGCATATGGAATGGCTGATCAGCAATGCTGACAGTATCAGCTGGCACCATAACTAATGATGATTGCAAGTACTGTTTCAATTAGAAGAACACGAGATTATTTTGAGATACTATTCCAGAAATTATTATTCAAGGAGCACATCATAAACAGCAGTTTCTGTTCCAGAAAGGATATTATCATAGGCAAGATGCTGTTAAACTCTTTCAGAAATAGATGCAAAATTCCTACAAAGTCTAAATTAATTGCTGATCTTGGCCGATCAGGCAGTACCAAGGGAAATGCCTTTGCAAATGGTACAGCAGATTTGGGTCTTACATGCTGTTTCTCATCTCAGTGATATTTGTGCTACTGGAAAGATTATCTTCTCCCTTGCCATTTTGTTAGTAGGTCTTTTACTATGGAATCCCTAGGTGTATTAAGGTATGCAAGTGTTACAAATTCAACACTGAAGCCAAAGCTCTGGCCTTAGGCAGGGGTGCCTTCCTAACCAAAGAGAGAAAAGGAGCAGTGATCATACAGCAATTGATCTCCTATGCACATTGCATAGAGACAACATGGGCCAGTTTAGGATTAGCCTCTTATTTAGAGTGCGTGTCCTCACCGATGATTACCTTCACCAATTTTTTTTTTCTTTTAGTCTATAAATACAACAGAAAGGGGTAGTTACAGTGCCAGGAAGTGAATGCAAAATAATTTTATCTGACTTTTAGTAAAAATAGCACAAGGCTAAAGCTGTTACATATGTTTTCTAGTGTGATTACCCAGTATATAATTAGCATGTGCCAGCACTAGTAATAATCCATGGATTGACTGTGTATACTTTACTGTCAATTGAAGTCTTTTTTCAGATGCAAATAGGCTGATGGCTAATTCAGTAAGATGGATAGGATAGGAGAGATAGTAGGATATGCAGTCACACCATTTAAAACTGAGCATGGGTAACCCTGAACACTCGCCCTGACACCTGTATCTGTTGGATTACACAGGGCAGGCTTTATTCCAGGCATCGTCAAAACATCATTTCTACCTTGCACAACGCTGTTTTGTAATTTCAGGTAGATGGGAAGGAGGGGTTTATTGAAGTTTAGTAATTAAAGATGTTTCTGTTCATTTAGGACCCAAAGCCAAGGAAGTGCTGGCAGAAATCAAGGCCTTTCAATTCTCATATTTTCTTACAGTATTCTACAGCAGCACCTGCGCTATCTGCTTCCCTCTGCCTGTTCCCTCTGGACTTTTATCCCTCTTCCTGCCATCTCTCCCAGCCAAACTCAAAATACCACTACAATGCCTTGAGAAGTCAAGCTACACAAGTTCTCTGAGCTGTTTCTGCAAATTGGGAGTGAAGAGTGAAGTTTTTGTTGGTTTATTATTAATTATTATTAAAGCTTGTTGTCTTAAAATATTGTCTGGAAACTGAAAAAAAACCCAAACAAAAAAACACCAAAACAAAACAAACAAAAAAAAACCAACAAAAACCCACTAAACCAACGTGTCAGTTCCTTACTGTCATTGTTGTGACATCTGCTGGTATGAGCTGGAAGAGAGTTTGTAGTCTGTGCTTGCTCACATTATAAGGGCTCTCCCTCCAGAAAAATGTTGTTATATGACATTTATCATTTGACACATTTATTCATAAAAATACACACACACACACACACACACACACACCCCCCCACACACAGACACACACACACACACCCCCCCCACACACCACACACACACACCCCCCCACACACACACCACACACACAC